ACTATTGCAGATACATTAATCCACTCCCAAACTACACAGTGCTCACCTTCACTATTTCCTTCACCACTCCCTACATCGTGAACCTGTTTGCCCTCCTTCCCTATACCATTTTAGAATTGCAGATACATAAATGCCAAGACAGTTCCCACACTTTGGACTGCTAGCCTTACTACTTCCTTCACCATTTCCTACGTCATGGACCAGTTTTCCTCCCTTCTCATAGCATTTTAGGATTGTAGATACCTTAATATAATCCCCATTAACAGTTCCCACACTCCGGACAGCTCGCCTTTACTACTTCCTTCACCACTTCCTACGTCGCGGACCTGATTCCCTCCCTTCCCATAGCATTTTAGGATTGTAGATACCTTAATCTAATCTTCATTAACAGTTTCCGCACTCCGGACGGCTCGCCTTTACTACTTCCTTCACCACTTCCTACGACGCGGACCTGTTTCCCTTCCTTCCAATAGCATTTTAGGATTTTAGATACCTTAATCTAATCGTCACAAACAGTTCCCACACTTCACACTGCAAGCCTTTACTATAATCTTATATAAAAAAAAGTCCTGTTCCTGTTACAATGTATCGAGTAATCTTCAGTATAATCTTTGCTCAATAGTAACAACAGATATTTTTCCTTTTGTACTGTATTTGTAATTTGCTAGTATACTGTGGATAGACAACTAACTTACAAGTCTTTTGTTTACTTTTTCCTTGTTATTTAATTCAGCCAAGATGGTTACTTAGCAACCCATAAGACTAATGTTAAAAAAATGTGACTTTCAGTTTCATTTTTCTACGTAATTAGATTTTTGTTGGCAATTCTAAAAGCAGTAAACTCGTTTTTAGGCCAGGAATAAACTATTTACAACATTTGAAGGAAATTGTCGGAGCCGATTTCGAGATCTTTCTGCAAGCAAGCATACATACATATATACATACATACATACAAGCAAACATTGCTCGTATTAAAGTATAGGATTTATTTCATAATAAATTCCAAACATCCCATGGGGCTTAAACATAAAAACACAAAATAATAAAGATTTAGTGTGAAAAGCACAATTATCAGTTGAGCAAATTGATTAAATAGTTCATAAAAACAAATTTTGGAAAAAAACTAGATAAAATTTGTTTGACCCTGATGGGTCTCGAACCTAGGTCAATCCACTTATGAGCCTCGTACCTTCCTCTGAGCTATCTGTGACTGTTGTTAGTTTTAGTTTTCAAATGGTGAAAGAGTAGCCGACAGTTGCAATGGTTGCAATACTTAAAGTACTTTGATACTACAGTATAATATGATTCTGTTAATCTGTTTTGGTATTAAGTATTAGAGTTGAATAGTGCTGTTATGAATAGTGGGTAGTCCCCACGAATACAAATACAGTAAACTACAAAAATTAATTTAAATACTATGACAAATATACTATGTAATTTATGACTTAAGTAAATCAAATAATTATTTTTAGAACGTCATATACAAACGTAATTAGTTTCTTAAAGATTCGCCAGTCACTAGCACCCTTTCTAGCCAACCATTTGAGATTTCTATGTTCACATTCATTGTCACATATTGCAATCTATATAAATAAAATTAGAGTTTTGTCTGTACATTGCTCAGAATCATAAATTTTTAGGTTAGTTTTACGTTATATACATTAAAGAAGCCGAAACAAGTCTCATCTAAATTTCTGTCTGTCTGTCTGTAACACTCAAGATTGCATTTTACGCAATCTTCTCCAGGAAAACGAGAGTACCTATCATGATCCAAGTCATTTTAATATATTCACTGGATTGGCGAGAGTGTCTTTAGCTATTAAAATATGGCCTCACTACTTAGTAAATAAAATTACGGATGTTCAAAAATGCAGTTTTGTGCGATTTTTGTCAAGTTTTCGTCCAATTTTTATCACATAATGATCTATGAAATAACGAACAGCTGTTCGGATCAAGATTATTTCTTCTATATGTCACTGATATGTTTACAAATGTTGTTTACAAATACCGCAACCATTTCCGATCACGTTTTGAAGGCAAATCCCATCCAAGTGAGATTAAAAATGGTTTTCTTACATAACGGATTTAATTAATCGCAAGTGGAATAATATAGTGTAACCGTAAATGAAATTAAATAACCAGGCATCATCCAGGTCAGGAAATTGTGGTTGTGTATAAAATTGTTCTTGAGTTTTGATAACCAGAAAGAATACCTTGAATCAGTGTTGTATAGGGCTGGGAAAATTGAATTTATTAAATGATTGTCGCCAATAATAGCTTACAAACAAGGTTTCAACTCATTGACGGTGCTTCGATGGCGGTTGTGTAAAGTGTAAGGTAAAAAATCACAACTGCATTGGGTGATTGTGACAGAGGTTTACGGATGATGATAAACTCGCTTTTCCAAAGACTGTGTCACTTTCTGTTCCTACTCACCATGTGATGCAATAGCTGGACCTTACAGCCAATAGGCCCATAGCCCATCTCTTGGGTACGTATTATAAATTACCAATCTAAATCGTCTATAGAACTTCATTTCATATAGTAAGCCGTCTTTTCGACAGCATTTCGGGTCATCTCCGAACCAAGCAAATATAAATTGTTCTGATAAAATTTGATGACATTAACAAAGATTTCATAAATACTTATTTTATAGGTATGTAATTTGTTAGGTATGCTTAAAGCATAGCAAATTCCCTAATTAAATTCTGTATTTCTGTGTATATGTCTGTTGGTGACGCATTAGTGTCCTTATTTCTCAGTGTTTCACGGAAAGGAGAATAGCACATTTGACGATAAAAATGTCAACCCGAATAAAGTGTTAAATGGGGAGGTTCAGGTAGTACTTAAATAACTTTTAACCATTGTGGAAAGTAACTTTCAATTAGGTCTACCTTAGGGATATGCCTCATATATCTATAAAAAGCATATTTTAGATTAGTCTTTGGTATTAACATATGGACCAACACGATCCGGGTGACATTTAATTGCGTTTGTTTTGGCTTGAAACTGTCAGATACTGTATTTGCGAAGGTTTATAATAGTTTTGCCAACATATCTGAAAATATGCAAACCATCTGCTGTTCTTAATATAAGAAGGTTTCAACTGAATACCATAAGATCCCCGTGCGTAGAACGGGCACACAGCTAGTTAAAAAATAAAACCCATCAACACTTTTTTTTGTTTGACCCATACAGGGTGAGTTTTAATTGTCCCCCCCCTAACTTTTTTCTACATTTTTTCAAATATCAATCCCAGACCACTTTCAAACATTGTTGGGTAGTAAGTACTTCATTTTGACAAGGTGGTCATTTCCGGCCGCCATCTTGGATCCGCCATATTGGATGCAAAATATTTTTTTCAAATGTAAAGGTGGGGTTGTGACCCGTTATTTCGAACTAAATTTTTACCCTGATTACAATGCCGCAAACCGTTTTTAAAAATCTTGATTCATTCTAAAGTTATGAGGGCTTTTTAAAACTTGATTTTTAGCCCATTTTAACATTATGCATTTATAAACTAAGACCATAATCTCAAAATAGTGCTAGATAAAGATAAGTATACACTACCAGTAATTATAGACCTATTTTCACTTGGTTATGACTGATGTATTTTTTTCGGCCGCCATCTTGGATCTGCCATTTTGAAATGTGATAAATTATTTTAAATACTGTATGAAGGGGGTGTTGTGACCCATCACTTTGAACTACTTTTTTAAGCTAAACTCAATGCCGCAATCCATTTTTTGTTATCATGTTTTATTTATGAAATATTGCAATTTTTTTGTTAAAAATGTCAATATTTCAAAATCAAAAAATGAATATGAAAAACGGATCATGGAATTAAGTTCAGCTTAAAAAAGTAGTTCGAAATGATGGGTCACAACACCCCCTTCATATTTAAAATAATTTATCACATTTCAAAATGGCGGATCCAAGATGGCGGCCGAAAAAAATACATCAGTCATAACCAAGTGAAAATAGGTCGACAATTACTGGTAGTGTATACTTATCTTTATCTAGCACTATTTTGGGATTATGGTCTTAGTTTATAAATGCATAATGTAAAAATGGGCTAAAAATCAAGTTTTAAAAAGCCCTCATAACTTTAGAATGAATCAAGATTTTTAAAAACGGTTTGCGGCATTGTAATCAGGGTAAAAATTTAGTTCGAAATAACGGGTCACAACCCCACCTTTACATTTGAAAAAAAAAATTTTGCATCCAATATGGCGGATCCAAGATGGCGGCCGGAAATGACCACCTTGTCAAAATGAAGTACTTACTACCCAACAATGTTTGGAAGTGGTCTGGGATTGATATTTGAAAAAATGTAGAAAAAAGTTAGGGGGGGGGGACAATTAAAACTCACCCTGTATGTAGTTGTCGAACATGTATAGGCTACTGCCTCTTAACTATATGCGTAATTTTGTCTTTACGTGCATGATAGAGAGACACCATTCAGAGTAATATGTATTATTATTTACTTAATTTTAACGCTTTCACATCAATAGCAATTATCATACAAAAAATGCATGTATAAATTGATAGACACTATACAAAACAATAAGATGCAAATTATTTATTTTCCAATTATAATAGATTATATATTCTACAAATATATTATTATTTTATTAATACAAATATCTGACGTGTTTCAAAATATATTTATAAATACTTTAAATATATAATATAGTTTCAAAAATATTTTTTATATTTATTTAAAATATTCTCAACACATATTTTTTAAAATATTTAATAGGAAAAATATACATATAAAATAAGTATATTATAGATTCTATACTTATTTTATCAATATATATTATGAATCTATTATATATATTCAAAACGTATATTTAATTGATATTTTGCATTGCTTTTTGGTAATATTTTAAATATATATTTGAATATATCAAACTATTATTAAAGATATATTATTTACATATTGTATAATAAATTCATCCAATATTGTATAAATTTAATCTAATTGCTAATTACAGCAGGGATCCCTGCAGTCCCATGAGCAGTGTAGTCTAGAGGTTGTCACTTGTCCATCATGTGTGATCGTAGTGAGGTTCCGACACCTCGCCTTGTCCCCTCAGTGTGGCGGAGGTCTGATGGACGCTCCGTGTCGCTGTGACTACCTCTGGCTATCCGAGCCTCCCTACGACGATGTCTCAGGTAAGATAACTAGTCTACAAGTAACTATTTGTACAGTTTTAAGATTTAATTATATTACCTATATTTTCATTTCCTTCTTCTTTCAACAAGCATGTCGTCAAATACAAGTGGTAAGTACTGATGATTGTTTACAAAAATATCTAGCTATATAAGTGTTTTCTTTATAAATTAATTGTGTTTATTCGTTGTATTTAATTTTAGTTATGACATGGAGTGGTTAGAAAAAGTTGTAGTAAAGTTAGTTGAAGTTTCAGAATGGTGTTTAGTCAGTTAAAAAAAAAAATAATCTTTACCCAACACTAGCTGTTACCCACGGACTTCACCCCGTTTGACTTCATATGTGTTAATAAAACTATTAATTGGTTAAGTTAAGCTGAAATAAACAAAACAGAATACAGTAATAAAACAAATCATAACACCTAATTTTAATTAGGTAATAAATTGAAAGAATAACATTCAAATAAGTACTGAGGTATTTTTATCATTAGGTATAGGGAAGTTTCCCTTTTGAGGAAGTTTCCTCCAGAGCACTAGGCCTTATCAAGGGTGGTAAGGGTCGACAAGTGAAAGACTCTGGGTATCTCAAACTTCCATTTTATTCCTTTCTAACCTTATCCTAACACATATAGTTTTATGTACAATCGTATATACAATCTTGATCCTGGGTCCGTAGTCCTCCTACCAGGCAGTGTCTCCGGGCTCGTATTCAGGGGTTGGGCAGAGGTTGGATCAAGTCTTGCTTGCGCCCTTACTGGCCCGGTGGTCTACGACACTCCTAAAAGATATCCGTGTGGGTCCGCGGTCTAGATCCTTGGCACCTTCACCCCGGAATCCTCGGTCCCCTAGCTGCTGCTCTCCACTGGAGACGGTTCTGGCTTTCCAAGCACAGAAGTCAAGCTGGGCCGGTTTAATGTGCGGTACTGCTCTCCACTGGAGACGGTTCTGGCGTCACTTGCTCAGAAGTTAGCACTCTCTAGGCAGTCTACTGCAGTCCGACGTAAACTCCGTCAACACTTAGCGTATACCTATGTATACGCTTTTAAGGTGGTGGGGGACTCCAAAGTCCTTTCCTCCACCAACAACTACGGACCCGCAGGCTCAACACGCCCATGCGAGGGTGTCGGTGTCTCAACACGCCCGTCCGACGGTGCTGGTGGCTCAACACGCCCGTCCAGCGGTACCCATGGCTCAACACGCCCATCAGGTGTCCCGCGGGCTCAACACGCCCATGTGGGGTGTCTGGGGCTCAACATGCCCATCCAACGGTGCTGGGGGCTCAACACGCCCGTCCAGCGGTACCCGTGGCTCAACACGCCCATCAGGTAACTCGCGGGCTCAACACGCCCATGCGAGGGTGCCGGGGGCTCAACACGCCCGTCCGACGGTGCCAGGGGCTCAACACGCCCGTCCAGCGTACCCGTGGCTCAACACGCCCATCAGGTAACTCGCGGGCTCAACACGCCCATGTGGGGTGTCTGGGGCTCAACACGCCCATCCAACGGTGCCCGTGGCTCAACACGCCCATCCAACGGTGCCCGTGGCTCAACACGCCCATGTGGGGTGTCTGGGGCTCAACACGCCCGTCCAGCGGTACCCGTGGCTCAACACGCCCATCAGGTAACTCGCGGGCTCAACACGCCCATGCGAGGGTGCCGGGGGCTCAACACGCCCGTCCGACGGTGCCAGGGGCTCAACACGCCCGTCCAGCGTACCCGTGGCTCAACACGCCCATCAGGTAACTCGCGGGCTCAACACGCCCATGCGAGGGTGCCGGGGGCTCAACCCGCCCGTCCGACGGTGGAGTTAAACGCATATTTTCACAGTTGTGAATTTAATCACAATACATCAAAATATGAAACCTAGAGTGTACGGGCTGGAATTTTACCGCCAGACTTTTACCCTCTTTATGAGGTCAGCTCAAAATGTACGGCTCAGATTTTTACCCCCCCCTGATTTTGACCCCCCGGATTTTTACCCCCGGAATTTCACCCCCTAGCTAGATATAGATATTAGTGAGATGGATTAATTTTCTTCTTTCAGTTTAAATAGTAAACATTTTACATTCATATTAACCAACGGTTGGCCCAAACCCGAATCCCGAATATCAAAATAATTAAATAATAAAATGTCTACTATTAAATTGTGGTTTTTACATAAGTAAAGATGCAAGTTTTTAAAAAAACACCCATCTGGTATATGGCCAGGGGGTAAACTTCTGGGGGGGGGGGGGTAAAAATCCAGGAGAAAAATCTGGGCCGTACATTTGCATAAACACTAGTTCTATGGACAGGGGGTAAAATTCCGGGTTTTATTGAAAATCTAATTCATCATGCTATGTCTATTTTCATTAGACTTCCGATTTTGTTGGGGTGAAATTCCGCCCATGAACAAACTTTAGAGCGCTCAGGTTACTACGTCTGAGTGACGTCAGCTTAGACCAGGGGGTAAAATTCCAGGGGGATAAAATTCCAGCGTCCCAATGAACTACTAGGCGCACTGATTTAACAATGCAACATCTGATTTATCAAATATTAACAGCTGATCAGCTGTTTTCTCAACACACACAACAGCAATACACTTAATTTCCTGTAAATAAAGGGATTATGTGCCTTATTCACAGTGCCGGATTTAGCGTACTTGCGGCTCCCCCCCCTGTGTGGAAACTCCTTGCGATTGCAGCAATGCATCAAGGGGACATCATCATCAGCACTCATGATCGCGGATGAAATCGTGGACATCTCTCCTAAATCAAATCAATGCCATCATAGGTATCTGTGACCGCGCCAAGTCATTAACATCCCCTGCGGGCTGCAACAAAAGGAACATCATCCTTGACACTCGCAACCGCGGTGGAATCGTGAATATCTCCCGTGGGCTGCAATCACGGGAACATCACCATCGATACTCGCAACAGCGGCTAAATCTTGAACGTCTCCCGTGGGCTGCGATCATAAGGACACATCACCGTCACCCGCGGCCACGGCCAAATCCCAAACATCTCCTAGGTCCGCAGTCACGAGGACATTATTATCGTCACGTGATCGCGGCAAACTAATGGTTTAGAAAAATAAATTATTTCGTCTAAAAAGATGTTTTTATCCTCTGCGGCCCCTTATGCTTGCGGCCCTAGGTTCAACCTACCGTCTGGGGGATTCTCTAAATAAGTGTATTTTAACTTGGGTTTCTTAAGTTAAGTCATGATTTCATCAAGTGATGACGAACAGGGTAGTGTGGAAACTGTAGATTGTAATAATGAGGTATAGTTTATTGCTAATGAATTATGTTTGTTTACCATAATACTGGAAAAATCCCAAATTCCAAAAGTAAAGAAACTTGAAGAATCAATTGCTTAAGTCTTTTTGAAGTACACATCCATGTTTGGAAAGAAAATAGATGGAAAATGAAAAATTATGAAAAAATAACCAACATGAAAACACGATTAACGATAAAAACTGACACTAAAGAGACTGAAAAAAATTAATCCTGGAATGGGAGAAAAATTTCTTCAGGCTTTGAAGACTCAAACCCAACCATTGCGCGAATCCAATACCTTTTTGAAATCCGGGATCAGACAGATATCTTAAAACAAATTTTCATTTTATGTAGGTACTGGGGTAAGCGCGCCCCAAGATTCTACAGTCACCCCTACAAATTTATTTGTCAACCAATGCACGTTATTTTCTTCAAAACAAAACACACTTTTAATGTCCTTAGGACTACAACGAGGTAGATACACGTTTACTTCCCGAACATTCACCATATCCGCCATATCAAACACAAAAATAACCTATTACTTGAGAGATGAGTCAACTACTAACTAGATGCATCAGATTTGAAGGATTTGCTTGCCAGTACAAGTAAAAGGTCGACTTTATGCATACTCATTTACTACTGTTCCGAGTAAATAATCTGAATCACTGTTCATTTACTTCTTACTCCAAGTAAAAGGTTTCGCTCTAGTTTTTATTCATATCTTGTGAAGGTTTTGCTCGAAATTTTACAAGTAACAGGTTTTACTTCTTTTTATGCATACGGCCCATTCTCCTGTCTTCTGTTTCCAAATTAGTCCTACCCTCCTCCTTGTCTTCCAAAATCAACAGCCTATGCAGCGATTATCCAACAGTCATAAATTGAATGTGAAATCTTCAGGCGACTGTTGGAGAGCACACTTAAACGCGGACGGGTGCTTGCTGGATTCGGCTATCAACGACAATAGTATTATTTGTATTTCGTTCGCGTCTACCAGTTAAAGTTCGTCGGCCTCTTCCTATTTGACGTCCTGGCCAAAATCTTATAGTCTCCATTATGTCAAACGTTTTTTTGGTTATGTTTTGATTTTGTGCAAAATTTCAGTATAACCATCTGTTTCAAATATTAGTGTCAATTTCAAATATTCATCTGTTCAAATATAAACAAACATTTTCTCCCTAAGAATAACATGGGAACTTTGAAGGCCACTGGGGCGAGTCCTGATGGAATTCCAAAGTTTTTTTGTTTGATGGCAAAACTACATGCTAAGACCTTTCTAACGACACCTTGAACATGGAGATCGGTAGCACCACCACTCCAAAACAATTATGAAAAAAATATGCCTAGCGTATTAAATATATAGATAGTGCTGTAAATAAACTTTTTAATGCTATTCAATATGAAAGAACCAAATTGTGTAGTTGAAACAGCTGACAAAATTTGTTAATTCCTTTTAAAAACATTTATAAGGTTAACATGGGAAACTCCAGAGCCACTGGGGCGGAGCCCGAGAGGATTTTTAAGATAATAATGCGTCTATTTGTTAATCAGGAATGTGAGCTATCATCACTATAAATTTCAGCCCAATCCGACAAGTATTTGTCACGTTTACTTGTCACAAACATCCAAACTTTCTCACTTAATATTAGTAGGATAATTTTCTAATTTGCAGTTTTCAAAATTTGTAGTTTCAAGAAAATTTGCCTAACTTTAAATGAATCATGGCTTCGTGATTTTGTGTGGTGACGCAAAATCAATCCACAATCCAATCCACAATGATTTAAATATCCCACCTCGTTCAAACCATGATACGCTACGTAGGACACTATGGTCGCGCATGCGCACGGAGGGGAGTAGGAAGAGACGACGCGAGGACGGTTGTCGTGTGTCGCCGGCCTAACCAGAAGGATGCCGTGCTAGAACGTAGGAAATGGGGGGTTTGGCTCCCTGGGAGGTATTGTGTTGTAGAATAGTAATATTTAATTAATATGTAATTTCAGATCATGTAGTCAAATCCCCTATCTCATTTATTCCGTCATTTATTATTGATCATTCATTCAAAATCTTAGTTCACATTGTGTCCAGTTGACTTATATATTAATATTCCATATGTTGAACGATTAAGATATGTCTGTGTTATAAATGCTTTAATTAATCAAACATTCATCAAAGCTGGTTCTTATAAGAACCAGCCCTTATATAAGGGCCTGTGAATTGCGGTAAATTGTCTCCTTTGTTTTAAATAATGTGTCCAGTTATCGTTTCCAACATGAAAGATTTGGTCAGGATCATAAATCACATGACCAGATCACCAAAGTGTGCATCAAAGTATGCCACACGCTGTTCCCATTATATGACTTACTTTATTGACATTTGAAATCAAATTGTTTCTCTATCAATGTGTTAAATAGATCTTTGCTGATGAATAACCTACTACTATACCTGAGTCGATTAGTGTAATACAATTCGATGAACTGTTTAACCTAACATAAGCGAATGGCAATTTACCGCTCATATCTACGCAGTTTGCAGTTTGTTTTTGTTGGGAATTTTCGCCTTAATTGTATGAGACCAGGTCCCCTTGTCAATGTTATTTACCATTTTAAAGAACTCCGACAGTTCCTAGCTATACCTCCTTCTTGGTTGTAACGGAAACACCTGACTATTATCTCGGCGGGTCTATTTCTTAAATCGTTTTGCTTGTTTCGACAGAAAAAGGGTTTTCGTGGCCTGCACTTTGAAAGGATGTGCAGGGGAGCTGCGTTGACGTATAGTCTGGTAGACGCGGATCCAAAATATTGTTTTTCCGTCCTACATGGCCTACATTTATTCAAGGCTACTTCAATCACATAGGTCCTTGCCCAACAAGTTAAATTTAGCTGTTGTTCTTGCTCATAAAGGTCCTCTGAAAGTTTGATTCAATTTAGTTAAGAATTAAGTAAGTTATGAGCAGTTTAGTGTTTGGCAAGTTTTCATTCAGGTGTGACATGGGTAACCTGAAGTCCCACTAGCCTCAGACTCTGATAAGTGATTGAAGTAATAAATGTAGTTTTGAGCGCGAACGTGATTTACAACAAATGTTGGCAATATTCTGAAAATGTCTCCTCAGCTCGCTGTGGAACGTACTACCAATGTTAAACGTGGACGGGTGCTTGCTGGATTCGGCTATCAACGACAATAGTATTATTTGTATTTCGTTCGCGGCTGTTGTGTCGTAGGCTAACTCAATCGCCTTGATTTCCCTACGACGCGACGCATGGAAGGAATGAATCTATTTAAAATTGTGTCGTGTAAACTATTCTAACCTGATCAAGCATTTACTGAATCGACCCACAACTTAAACAATTGACCCTTGAGCTCGGGCAAAAGCAATTTTATTTATTACGTTCTCGTGAGATAGTAAAACGTTGAAAATAGGTCTCAAATCTTTAAGAAAAGAAACCAGTTCGAATTATTTGACGCATCGATGTGGAATCTATTTTAGACAAACCTTGTTGGTTGGACCACGCTGGAAAATGATTCATCTGCGAGGGCGCAACAAAAAGAGTCAACTTGCGAGACATTGGATGTGGTGACGACGCGAAAGTCGGGGGGATCAAATTCGTCTAGGTTGCACGGCACGTTCATTCACATATGGATAGACGACCTAAGGGCACGAAATATTCCTTCATCGAGCGTGATGTAATCTATGGCTGCGGAGTCAAAAGAGTGTTGCGATCAAAGAAAAACAGCTTGTTCCAACAATTCGTTGTCTGAGTATATCAAACAATTTCTGTTTGACAAAGTGTTTGAGCGAAGCATGTCGTAGTCTGTGTCGTGCGCAAAGCGCCCTATTTCTTCTTCGGCGAATGCCACATGACCCGTGCGGAGGGAATCTCGTGGAGGGGGAGGGGGTACGACAACTTTGACCAGCTTGTTACCTGTCTCCGCAGGTTCTACACTTTCCCCACTGGACACAGAATTTACAGCTGGATGGCCTCTGTTCACCATCCTGCAAGCTTTGTCACTTGCAGTAGTTAAATACCTCGGCCTAAACAATTGAGGCCTCTCAAAAAATTGTATTCACAAAAAAAGACGCAAAACACACTCTATCTCAGATTGACTCTATACACAAGAATTTACAAATATTGCTATACATATCAATATAAATAATCTCTGGACAAATAAAAAAAACAAAAAAAAAAAAAAAACATGTTTCCGAACTAAAAAGAGATAATAATTTATGAATGTACAAAAACGTCGATAAGTCAGTTCAAGACAATGCTTGCCCTCCAAGTGAAGCGTTGCCCATTGTAACTCTTGTCGTTCAAACAGCTGTTTTATATCCTTCCGCAATCGTCCCTGATTGGACCGTTTGGCCAAGGTGTTTGGCACGGATTTTAAATTTGAATGTGCAAATCGCCACAGTAGGCATATCATTCTCTTGTAATAAAGGAATTTATCTACAGTGTGAAACAGAGAAAAGTCCATGACAATAGTTTTTTTTTTTTTTTTTAATACATACATTACATACATTAAGTACTAAAAAAATAAGAAAAACTAAATATTTGTCTTTATTAACTACAGTATAACCGGTGCTAACATATAACATACTTTAAGTGTCTGACCTGTTTTGATGATTTAGCTACAGTGTTGCACTAACCCATTGACTAATTAATAGTCAAAGACTAACCGCATGATTTATTGTTTACTTTTATAGCATAATGATGTATTTAAATGTAATGTATGTAAGAAACATATTTTTTACATACCATATATACTGCCATAGTGGGAATTATAATGCCATAATTCTCCTCTCCAAAAACTCCAATACATTATACTAAAAATTAATATTTTTATTATTAACAAGGAAGTAAGAGATAAGGTTACTGTATTGTTTAATGTTTACATGTGTGTCCAGGCACTCCGTTCTGTGGCCACTTCCCTCCCTCCTTGTCACCACCTGTGTTTCGCAGCCAGACAAGGACGTTGGTCCTGGCATTGCTCTTCAGTCAGGCTCACAAACATGCTTTCACATTAGAATACTCTTCAGAAAGTAAGTACAGTTCATCAACTCAACCATCTGAAATTATAGCTATTTCTACTTCATTAATACGTTCGCGGCGGCACGTCAAATGGCGGGCGTATTCCCAGTGCGGCGCAGCCCTCAGCGCCGAACAAACCCAAATGCCGCGTGTGATTGGTTTTCCAATTTCGGTCTGACGAATAGCAAATAACGTGCGAGGATGTCCTGCTTTACAACGAGAGTCAACGTAGTTCGCTAAACACCCACAGATAGCAAGCAGCACTGCTTGGAACGTAGCCGGTCCCATTGGAATTGTATTGCCAAATGGAGGGAAAAAGACGGGACAAAAAGTAGATTTTTGAGATTGCCAGACGGGGATTTTACGGGGAAATTTACTACCAACCTATACCACAACAAAATACAGTATACTAATGAGCAGTGCTGTGCGAGGTTTCAAGTTTCTAGATCTAATCCTGGCTTAAAAATAAATCATTTCGTACTGCATTGCAGCTTGGGAGCGATCGCACCCACCAGGATGGCATTAGGGTTCCGTATGGGAGCGATCGCTCCCATGCCGCCGCGAACGTGTTAACAAAAATGTCTTGATGTAAATAACAGATTTCTCATCCTTATGGAACAGCTGAAACCAATTTTATTATTTGTTCTGTCCGGTGCACTGTAGTAGAGGTCATGTTTTGTTTACAATTTGTTTCTTGTTATTTCAGCCATTTAAAACCTTGTTTAACGAAATAAAACAATATAATCATAAAAAATAACTCGTACCCTATAGTTATATAACCAAACAGTAAAGTACAAATTATTAAATTTACCCTGAAATAATAGAAACAAAATTTTGTCGATACTAATGCCCAGTGCCACCGGACATGAACTAGATATAGAAACGAGCTTCAAAATTTACAATGGGATGAGAAGTGTACTTGTGGTTGCTTAGTCTACAAAATAACTCACCTAGTTTTTAACAAATAATTTAGCCATGGAAGTTTTAGTTGGTTAAATACCCTCAATCTTGGATGAGTTGGTGGCTTAGTCAGTATTGCAATGGGCAAGAATCCACGACAGCATTTAGATCCATCCTGGTGACTTTACTAATGTCTGTCAGTAGGTACAGTTTATTCTTGAACTGTATAGGATGATTTTTTGCTTTGCTTGATAAGTTCTACAGGCCCCAGGTCCATGTGGAGAGTCAATAAGATTGATTGCAGCCATTAAACATAACATTTTGTGATAGGCATTGTTACAACAGTACTTAAAAATAGTGTCATACGTCAGTTATAAATTTCAATATATACAATATCCTATTTAGATTCAAAACATGATATGTCACTATTTAAAAATTCTTCCTGAGTGTAGAATGCGGATCACCAGCATTCAATTCCAAAATATCAGAATAATCATCTCCTATCACGTGCTGTTTACAGTTTTCAAGGTAGGATTGAATATGATGTTTAGTTCACGGTTCCTAATGCCATAGTAATATAGTTTATCAAAAATAATGGGATGGGAGATTGTGTCGAAGGCCTTGGTCAAATCAATAAGGCATGTACCTGTCACCGACTTGTCTTCAAACAGTTCAAGCCCTTGCAAAACTAGGTTAATTAATTCTTCTACAGCCTTTGTGGTTGAACAGTTGGCTTTAAAGCCGTATTGACCTTTATATAAAAGATTGTTCACAGTTAAAAAGTGTTGTAGCTGCTCAAGCATACATTTTTCAATTATTTTTCCTAAGATTGGAACCAAAGCTATTGGGCGATAGTTTGATGGGACATTCTTGTCGCCTTTCTTGTGAATGGGCGTTACTCTGGAGGTTTTTAAACAATCAGGAATCTTGCCGTCAATCAAAGCAAAATTTATAAGATGTGTTAAAGGTTCCAGGATAAAATCAACTAAGTATTTAAAAGTAAAATTGGAGAGTCCAAACAAATCTTCATTACGGGAACCATAGTGTACATAGTTTACAGACCAAAGAATGGACTTGTTTATCAACAAGGCTCCATTTAAATGTCCGGATGTCAGGAGTATTAGAATATGGTATAGGACAGTTACTCAATAACTTAATTCAAAATGAGTAATTACTTTATCATCATTATTGAGTTTATTTTGTGTGTTGTTTGAAACAGAAGTAAAGAAATCGTTGAGAGTGATGGGTGTTAAAGTTGTTTTGGAAAATGTTTTAATCTGTCCTGATTCTTTTCTGATTATTTCCCAAGCTTATTTGCATGTATTTTTGGATTGAGTAAGTTTGCCATTAGCAGTAATTTTGGCTTCTCTTACCTTGTTTGTATATACACGCTTTGAATAATTCAGAGAGTGATTATTATTCTGGGAATAAAACAATATTTAGAGAGAGTTATGAGAAAAGACAATAAATAAGATAGAAAGTAAAATGAGAAAGAGTAATGGTAAATAGGACCAGAGGGGTAATATGTGGAGAGATGGAGATATTGAGATTAATGAATATGAGAGAGTGAAAAATGAACACACATTTAATGGTTACAAGAGAACAATAACTCTGTTTATTTACATTTGAAATACAACACATGTTAACAATATAATAAAAAGGAATAATTTAATATGACAACAAACACATGTTGCTGAGAAGAGAGTTAGTTTTAAGTAAAACAAAGAGGATGAATTTAAATGTTCAAGTTTACCGAACACGCTTCTATACCTTTTAAAACTGTTCATATAATTTTACATTCTTGCTACATTTCCATTTGTCATAAAATAACAATAAATATTAACCCATTGTCTCCAATTCTGTAGTAAACCAAATATTACATCTATTAACCTTAATATTACTTTTCACATTTACAACAGGACAGTACAAATTAAAATCTGAAATTAAAACCCTGAAATTAAGAAAAAATGGAAAAGCTAAGTTCGTGTCATTAATAGAATACAAGGTAGACCAATCGATATTACTTAACTTATTGACAAAATTTTCAAGTCTGGTTGATGATACAAGGATGGTTTCCTATTGTAAGAATCCTCTTTGTTATCTAAGCAACTGTTGTTCTTATTTTTACTAATAAAGAATTTTAAAACTACTTCAGCATGATCTGATATTATTCCCTCCCCAGTGATGTAACAGTGAAGCAAGGCTTGCTAAGATTTGAGCATAAGGCTTGAGCAAGGCTTGAGAGGCAAATGGGTTACAAAATTTAATAAAATGTAAATCAGTGTACTTTTACACAGGGAATCGACAGCACCTAGTGGGTAAGCCTAGCAGCACAGCTATGATGGGAACTGTGAGCAACTCTAGCGTCGGAGGTATCATAACGTCCCCATTCTTCCCCAGCCAGTACCCTCGGGACCTCGGCGCTGAGTACATCATCAGCTGTGAGGCAGACGCTGGTGCCAGTTGTAGAGTCAGACTTCTGTTTAACGACTTCCAGCTGGCCGGAGTCTCAATCATGGAGGTTGGGTTAGGTGTTGTGTTCTTATAAACATTTCAAACACTCAAATCACATTTCTATCAAACCTTGTTATCCTGCATAACATTTACAATAATAGTAGGTATATTTCATCTCTAGGGCCTAAAGTGACTCTTTTTGATTAGAGCTCAAGTTTTATGATCGAAGCGGAGCCGAGGTCGGAAAATGAGCGAGGGTTGAAAAGACACTTCTTGCCCGTGCGATGAACTATATTTTTCGTCATATTGCACCATTATTTGAACAAAGTATGTTACAAAACTAAAATAGTTATCTTTGAACACCTCTCAAAACTACTTCTAGTTCCAACTAATTTTATTTTAATTTCCTAATGGAAACAAGCAGCTGTTTAGTAAGTTATTTAATCGTTTCGTCTATTCATTATGAACAACGCTAGGAGATTCATTATAAAAATCAATTCAACAAGAAAAATCAATATAGCCTAGTGGAGAATGACATGTTTGATGCCATGAGTAAAATGGGAAACAGACACCTCAGCAGATTTTGCGCACACAATATCTGCTGATTTTACTTATCTTCGTTACATGTCTGCTGGAGTTGCGGTCAAATTCAGGTGTAAATGGGGTAATAATACAGAATCAGATTACATATCTGAAAGACTAACATGCCAAAAGATTTTGAATGGACCAGTAGTATACAGCCTGGTAACCAAACCAAATTACTATGGTAAACCTTCAATTCAAGAATATGATAGTGCTTTCAGGCAATTGACAGACGATTTTACAAAAAGAGAACTTAAGGCATTAGTTTGTTCCCCAATGGGATGCGTGAGAGACTTAATTAAAATAGACCATTTCTTCAACAACCTCTTTGAATTCCAACACGCTACAGATGCCACAATTTATATTGTGTGTTACAATCAAATATCGCCTCGGGTTTTGAGGAATGGACTCTCTCACCATGACTTTGTTAGTGCTCTGAGAAGAACGTTGAGTGAAAACAGTACAGTGAAGTGAATAGTACGGTGAAGTGGACTGCTCAAATACTAAAGAACTCATGCCTCGAGATTCATACTACCAACATCTCACAAGTAGTAATCCTCCTGTAGAAGTGGTTTTGACGACTGACAACGATGCAGGTATTACAGTAGACGCAGGAGGAACTGATGTCACTTTTGGGTCGCGCAGCCAACCAGAACATCCTCACCAGACATCCACGTACTGTATATGCTCATGGTGGCAAAGAGCAAGCTACTGGCAATACAAGTCAGGGGACACAGCATCAATCAGCCACTGTACACAACCCAAACACCAGCAGCCTCCCTTCAACCATGCCAGCATCTTCGTCCCACAGGCCACAGCAGGCTTCAGTGCAGCGAGACAAAGCCAGCAGCAGTTTGGTAATTGTGTTGTGGAAAAGCAGAGCATAGCTCAAAGTGAAGTGATCAAGGGAAATCAATTTAATACACAAACAGCAGATGTGAACCTTTTAAGCTCTACTTTAAACTCTCAATAAATTACATCTCAGAGTCCCAGTTGGATGAAAACAACCTAAATATCAGAAATCTAAAGATTTTTCATAAGAATATTCAAAACTTAATAACTTGAATTGACCAATTGGAAGTATCATTAACAGAGATAGATCCTGATATAATTGTTTTATCAGAACATAACATAAATCACTATGATATGGAAAGATTTAACCTTGATAATTACCAAAAAATAACTCATTCTCGCACCACAACAACTGGATGAGGTGTTTTAATCTTATCAAAGGAGAGCATAAAGGGGAAACCACTGCTATTAAAAATGGGAGAAGAGCTTTGCCAAGATAAATTGTTGGAGTTTTGTTGTGTTAAATTTAAAGTATAGTAGATAATTTCCACTTTTTGCTGGTAGGAATTTATAGAACCCCACACTTTGAAAACTCAGAGTTTTTAAACCGACTGAATAAACTAAATAATAATCTAGTAAGAAAAAAAAATTGATTATAATTGGTGAGTGACTTTAATATTGACACTCTTAAAGATTCACCAGAGCTAAAAGAGTTAAAACGTATTCTACTGAGATGTGGTATGAATTATATAATAGATTTTCCCACGATATTCTATCTCAATATCTACCTCAAAAACGTGCATAGATAATATTTTAACTAACATTCATAAGGATCAAATTAAAACTGAGGGTATTGTAAAAGCCTTATCAGATCATGACAACTCATTAGACAAGTCTTTAGACCTTACAAGTGTAGATATTGTAAATAAATCTAATGTATTCAAAGTAGCTTTCCTAAATGTTCAATGTCTCAGGACTAAATTTAATCTAATGCCAATATTCTGCTGTGAGAGCAAGCTAAATATCCTATGTATCAGTGAGCATTGGTTGGTTGAAGAAGAACGTGATTTTTACTCATAATTAGAAAACTTTCAACTGGCATCATGCTTCTGCAGAAGGCAAAGGCTTGGTGGAGGAGTGGCTATCTTTGTAAACGATACCCTAGAAATAAAACAATTAGACTTGGAAAGATACTGCGCTGAGCTAGATTTTGAAGTGTCTGGAATTGAGTTATTGGGAACACAAATGATATTTTTTAGTGTTTATCGCTCTCCCAACGGCAACATTGACAATTTTTTTGAAGGACTAGATATCTGTCTCTCTGATTTATCCAATTTAAAGAAAACAATCATACTAGGAGGTGACTTCAATATTGCGCTAAACTGTGACGAACTACACACAAGAACTTTTACAAACCTACTCCGAGCACACGGCCTATTCATTACCAGTGTCGCATCGACGAGGGGAAACCGATGCTTGGATACCATCGCCACGAACTTGGACTTGTGGGATTATGAGGTAGAAGTAACTGAGCCGGATCATGGAGCAGTTTTACTGAGTACACACAACAGCTTGGTGAGTAGCACTCCAATATTTCCTGCTTGGCATCTAGAGTATACTAGGAGCTTTAGAATTATTAAAGAGAATCGTCTCCCGCAATTCAGGTATAGCTTGTCACAGATTGACTGGGGTCGTGTTCTGCAGGTAAATGATCCGGAAGAGTCTTTTGCTAATTTCTTATAGTAAATGATATCTTTAATGATTACTTTCCTTCCAAAACTGTCAGAATTTCTCCTAATAGGCCTAAGTTAAGTAAGGTTAAACATGGTAGGTTGGAGGTCAATTCATGGTATACGCCAGACCTGGCTAGATATAAGAATCTAGTTTTAGCCTTAAGAGACAGGTACCTATCGGCCTCTTGTGAACACTTGAATGAACATCTTCGTTTTATGTATAGCAAAGCTAAAAATTCCTACAAACTTAAAGTAGATGAGGCAAAAAAACTGTGCAATATAAAAAAAAAAAAAAAAAAAAAACAGAAACTGCATTAAACCCCTGCAAGGCAGCTTGGTCCCTAGTAAACGAGTCCAGAGGGAAATCTAGTTCTAAAACTATGTTAAGCAATGCTAGCCCAGACGAGTTTAACAGGTTCCTAGTGGATAATGTGCATGATATTGTTAATAGCATTCCAAATACAGACTTGAACCCCCTGAATAGTATGAATGGCCTAAGTCAGCCGACCGCAGATAACCTAACCAAATGGAATCCTGTAGATTCAATTTACATAAGGAAATTAGTTTCTGGGCTAAAACCATCTAGTAGTCAGGATATTTATGGGATGACCACATTAGATCTTAAGGCAATAGTGAGTGAAATTGCGCATCCATTATAGCTATGGTTATAAACAGCTGCCTAAAAGTAGGGGCCTTTCCCAAAATCCTAAAAGTGGCTCGTACGGTACCCATATACAAAAAGGGTGACCCGTCCAACTTAAACAGCTACCGGCCCATCTCATTGATACCGGTCTTTAGTAAAGCCTTGAGTCCGTCATTAAAGATCAGTTGGTGAATTATTTTGAATCGAACAATCTGCTCTCAAACCTACAGCATGGGTTCAGAAAGAACCATTCAACAACTTCTGCCGTCTCTGAATTGGTTAACAGAGTGCAAACTGCCTTTGAGGCATCCGACTCGCTTGCCTTAACACTTTGTGACTTAAGCAAAGCGTTTGATTGTATATCACACAGCATACTTACAGACAAACTTGAACGCTATGGGGTTGGGGGCGTGGCTCTCACGTTAATCAAGTCCTATCTGGAAAATAGGCAGCAGGTAATCTCTCTTAGCGGTGCCCAGTCAAGACCTCTGACAATCCAACACGGCGTTCCTCAGGGATCGGTCTTGGGACCAGTACTATTTCTGGTATCAATCAACGACCTTGAGCTAAATGGTTCTTCTCTCAGGTTTGCAGACGATACCACCATCTTTGCAACGGGCTCTACCCCTGCGCGTGCGCTAGACACGGCTGAAACACTTTTTGATGAAGCTATAAGGCATGGTTCTCAGCCAACAGATTTAAGCTGAACGAGGAGAAGACCCAAAAAATCGTATGCACCCTAACTCGATATCCCCAAATCGAAACCAAAGTCCATCTGCTAGGTTTCACCATCGACCCTAAACTGACGTGGGCAGATCATATCGAAGTTGTTTGTAGAAGGCTGTCAATAGTCGTGTGCCTGTTACGCAAGCTTACCAAGCTAGTAACTCCACAATATTTAAAGGTGGTCTACCATGCTCTTTTCCATAGCGTGCTGAGCTATGGCCTACTGCTCTGGGGGCATGCGCCTAATTGTAATGATGTTCTCTTGCAGCAGAAGAAGGCTGTCAGGACTATAACTTTCAGCAAAAGACTGGACCACTGCCAGCCTCTTTTTGTTGAAACAAATATCTTAACGGTCTTTAGCCACTTCATTCTACTATGTGCAACACATGTTAAAAGCAACATCCATAAGTTTCCAACCAGAGATACCGTTCATAAACACCAGACAAGACGACACCATGAAATTGACATTCCCTTCTGTAGACTTGCTAAGACGAAGAATGCCTTCCCGACCATAGCAATTAGGATCTACAACAGCTTGCCCCAAAAAACCTTGATATAAAGAAATTTAGCACTGCCCTTAGGTCCTGGCTAGTAACCAAACCTTTTTATAGCCTTGACGAATACTTTGAAACAGTGAATAAATAGGGTTGATCCACCGCCATAATTAAAAGTGATTGTATGTATATATTGTAAATAGAAATTATCAATTATTATTTTTATTTTTATTTTATTATGACACAACCTATCCGGCAAAGCTGGTCTTGGTGAAGAGGAAGGTAATCAGGTAATCAGGTAATCATGGAACTACTCACACGTCCTAAAAAGATATATAATACTACAGTACTCTGAATTACTGGGGTAGAAATTTTTCCCTAGACAATATGAAATTGTTCGAATCACTATTGGAAAAAGAAAATTAGTTTACTCTTTTTAATTCAAGTATAGAAAGTAAATATGACACATTCCACAATATCTTACAATATTACTTTAATTTATTTTTTCCAAAAGTCAGAAAAAAATTACAAGCACCAAAAGAGAACAAATTTGATTACAAAGAACCTAAAAAAGAACAAAAATGATCTCATTGAATTAAACAACCTAGTCCTCGCCACCCTAACTTGAGGCAGCCCAAGGCCGCACTAGATATATGTCGTGCGGCCTTGGGCTGCCTCAAGTTAGGGTGGCGAGGACTATAGTTCATGAATCCGGGTCGGAGGTTCTTAAAACTCAATTAACGAAAAAAAATGCAACAATATAAATTAAATGTCATGAGTGCAAAACGTAATTATTAGTGATAAAATTAAAAACTCTAAAAATATATAATTAAAACTTTGTGGAACATTATTACTATTATTAGTATTATTATTAGTAGGGACGCCATTCAGGATTCTTGTCATTCGCCTATTGGATCTGATGATGATTGGAGTGTCCAATCAAAATCGATCACTACTTAACATCTTTTGTGTATATTTACCGTCTTGTGAGTAACAGTATAAGCGTGAATATATGTTTTAAGTGTTATAAGATGTTTCTTTTATTTACTTTCCAGAAATTATTAATAAGGAGACGAGAAAAACTCCAGCCAACTTATAATAAAATCATGTTTTAAAACTAGGTAATTGTGAAGTCTCAAACCCATTACATGTTGCTAATAGTGTTTTAATAACTTTTTTGTCAGTATAATTGAAAATATGTTAGATGGTAGATCAGATCAAGCTGTTGGTATGAAGAAAGTAATAAACAGATCCCAACTTTCATGTGTCCGCTAATTGACGAAAGTGATATAAATAAAATAATCGACACTCTTAAAAATAAATGGTCCAGTGGCTTTGACGAAGTTCCAATAAAGATTATTAAATATGCCAAGGAGTCCCTGTTAAAACCCTTAAAGCATATGATAAATTCTTCCTTTATTTCAGGCATTTTTCCAAAACAACTTAAAATCTCTAAGGTCATACTGGTGTACAAAAAGGGGTATTCAAAATTATAGACCAATTTATATTCCTCCATCAATATCAAAATTTTTTAAAAAGAAATGCAATTAAATCTCATAAGACACCTAGCACTATATGATCTTTTTAATCACGAACAACATGGCTTTCGAGAAAATAAATCCACCCACTGCTTTAATAAGTTTTGTTGAATCAATCATAGTCATTAGATAAGCAAGAGAAAGTTACCACAATTTTTACGGATTTATCAAAAGCCTTTGACAGTATTTCCCACTCAAAAATGATTGACAAACTTATTAGCCTAGGAATCACAAATTCATATTTAAAATGGTTTGAATCAGAGAACAATATATAGAAGTATCAAGAACTGGCAATATTCAAGTCAACATCAGAAAAAGTTAAATATGGAGTACCCCAAAGGGTCAATACTTGGACCATTATTATTTATCTGCTACATAAGTGATATGCCGAATTGCCTAAATAAATTAAACTCTATCAAAAATCACCTCTTTTTGTACGCCGATGATTCAAACTTTATAATGTCTGGTATAGAATTAGAAATTCACTCCTTTGTGGAGTTAGCAAAAATTAAAGATTTCTTTAATAGGTACTCACGATTTAATTTTGAACACTCATAAGACTAACTGCATATCATTTTGCACTAAACAAAGACAAATTAAAGAGGAAATAAATATTTTCATAGATAATGAGGAAATTATGCAAGTTGAAAATACTAAATTTCTTGGCCTTATCATTGATAGAAATCTAATTTGGGATCTGCACGTGGATAATGTCTTAAAGTGGATAAATAAATATTTGATACGGAGGGCAATTTATTCATTTGATGACTTTTTAATACTTTAGATCAGATAATAGATCTTAAAATTCAGAAAACAGCAACGTGGAGAAGTGTGATCAATAATGCCCTACCAATCATGTTGATTGTAGCCTACATTCATGTAAGACGTTATCTTAAAATTTATTTTGTTTTCTAGCTTAGTTTGTTAATTAATGATGCAATATATATGACAAAAAATATAGTTTACCACACAGGCAAAAAGTGTCTTTTTACCCTCGCTCATTTTCCAAGTAAAACCTGACCTCGGGTCAAAAAGAGTCACTTTAGGCCCTAGTGATCAAATACAAATATACTGTAAGCCTATCGGTGATTACCTACTTACAATATTTATTTTGCACTATATTCTGGCCATGAGTGTGACAGACTGATAAGAACAAAATAACAATGGTGAACATAACATTCAAAGTCTTCCAATGGAAAGTTGGGTTGTAGATCCAACACAAAGAACTGGCAGTTTAACTACATGTATTTCCATAAAAAATACACAAAACAAAAAATCTATGTAGAAAATTATAAAATGATAATTTTTGGATTAAAACACAGTTAAGCACGGTTCTTTTGGATGAAAGATACGTCTTTAAATGTATACAGATCATTATTTTCTGATTCTGTGTCAAAACCATAGACAAAAATAATGAAATATAGACCGACAGCATCAGTGCTGTGGTTAACATATGTTCTGGCGTCCACCGCTAGGAGTGCTGTGTAGTTACGGCTCACACCGCTGCAGCGTCTACGGTGAGAAGCCGACGACAGCAGCGAATCAAACACCAAGGATGCTCTAGGGGCACATCGCGGAACCTTCCTTTGACAGTCTATATTTATTCTATTTGTCTATGGTCAAACGAGATTTTGAATCATTTAAAAAATCTGTTATGTGTTTCATTCTATACTTTTATTGGCAAGTCTAATGACATATATCTTGTACATATATATCTTAATAGATATATGTATTCTAATATAAGATGGGTTTAGTTCAAAGATCTCTTTCTTCTTTGCTGCATAATTTTCCTGGTATATTTTGGTTGCAGTTTTATGACTGGAATGGACAAAGGATCGAGGTAAGCAGTGGAGCTTTATTTCGTCCACCAGCCATCATCACGTCAGGACCTTCGCTGCTGGTCCGCTTCTACGCAAATGGAGGATCTTCAATTGGCTACAAAGCTTCATATTCATTCATTTCTGGTAATAAAATTAATCATAAAACTGCAATGGTAAAAGAACGGGTCTTACACTGTAATTTATAATTAATTATAAGTATGATTCAAAGATACAGGAGTCGTCTAAATTATTTAAAGAAACAGTGCAATGAAAAATAGTATTTGCAATGCTGCAATCAACTAACTCACACATCTTGATGATGCTGTGTAGAGATTGTAGCTGACTAGGGCATCTGTCCCGAACGAGGATCCAAAAGTCAAGTATCGGAGTGATAACACCAACAACCACAGCAGTGACCATGAATGACCAGCATCAACCAAGTGCTGTGGCAGGATGCTAATTAACAATACTAAGTTTTGTGTGCATGAAACTAAAGCATCTGTCAACCCTGCTACTTTCTTTATTTTTCATCGTAGGCCTACTGTAGCAAAAACTGCCTTTTTAAATACATGCACTGGGGAACAACACACAGCACAGTAGCTCTTTTCCTCCCTAGGGAGTAAAAGTCAGCTGTTTTAAACTCACTTGTAAACTTTGATTGTAAGCAATTAAATTGCATGTAAAGAGGTAATGTATCACAGTTTAATCGGTTATCTTATTGTTGCATTCTTGTTAATAGTTGAACATATTGATAGAATAATGTACACCAACACAATCATAATAGTCAAATTAATTGAATCACTTACCAAACAGCTGCTTGTTTGCATTAACAAAATTTCAAACAAGTTGGAAGTCGGTTTGATAGTCATCTAATGTTATCCTTGTTTTTAATTTTGTTTGCTTAAAAATGTGCAATATGACAAAAAATATGGTTAATCACACGGCCAAAATGTGTCTTTTTAACCCTTGCTCATTTTAGCGAATATCTATATAGGGAATTAGCTATTATCTTAGGGGTCACAATAAGACCTAGAGCCGGGACGGATATACTTTTTAATTTTGATATCCCTAGAGGCCAAAAACACTATTCGTTCAAATTTATATATATACAGGGTGGCTGAAAAGTAACTTACACCCCCCCCCCCTTAACTTTTCAACCATTTGAGATATTTGAAAATCGGTTTGCGGCAACCTTCTTAGATATGAGGGGCTATAATAATGGTAACTAATTTAGAAAATTTTGCCCTTATACATAAACAATATTTTTATGTATTTTATGGTCTCTTAATATTTTAATATTATATTATTGTTTGAAATAATCTAAAATCAACAAACGGTCCAGGGGACAACACCTAGAGCGTTGGCGTAATTATCCTAGCAATCACTTAGCAAAAAACTGCTCTCAGAACCTAGCACCCTCCTCACTTGCTAGCTGCTAAAGCTGGGGAGAGGGCAGGTCAAGCAAGTACTTGCTCTTATCACTGGACACGGCCATTTCAGGAAAAATCTCTACACTCCAGGAATTGTCAATGACAATCAGGAGTGTCGACTTTGCAACCAGTCTGATGAGACTGCAAAACACGTATTATTCTGGACTGTCAAGGACTTGGGGCTAGGAGAAGGGCTCTGTTTGGTCTAACACAGCCAGGTGATGAACCAGACGCTAACATTGGGCAAAAGCTCCTGCACCTAGTCAAGGACACGGACACAGGCATAGGCTTACCCAGTTATTGTGGCAAGTGGGATGCACAACAAGCTTCGGTTGACGTACTTGAACCACGAGTCCACCCCTTTCACAATACATACATACATACATCTAAAATGGATAGATATCTTGCAAAGCGGACAGAGACTTTTGCATTGTTGCGGCAGACTTTAGCCGCATGCCTCAGCATGCACTGCAACTAACCTCCAGCGGTCACGTATCACTAAAGCTACCATATCTTAGTTAATATTCGTCCAATCTTAAAAAATAAGTTGTCAATTGATTTTTAATTAAATTGCCTATAAAAGTTACTCTTGTACAATTTTTGTAAAATTAACCGTTTTTTAATTATTTAAGGAACTAAACTATAAATGGCCGCCATTTTGTTTTATGAATTTGAAAAATCATCATAATCTTTTTGTAGCTTTGTCTGGTTCTCATATTAATGTTTGTGTTTTCAATTTCTTATGCTTAACCATTTTTTAGAAAAAAAAATAATAAACAAAAAACAAAATTATGGCTGTTTGAGTAACTAAGGACTTCCTGGCAGTTTAAATATGACATTTGGATATGTTTCTTACCCAGGAATAATACCCTAAAAATATCTGACACAAATTCTGGAAACACCCTGTATATGCTATATAGATCCTATTCTATAATACGAGTAATGTCTGTTTGTCTGTCTGTCTGTAACATATATCTCGAAATCCAGCGGAAGGATTTTGAATAAATTTTAGAATTAGGGACTTGTGGCTCTAAAAACGTGATTGGGGACACCATCTACCTCAGGAAAATTCGTTGCTACACAACTCGTTTGAAATTGTTAAAATTTAACATTAGCCTTATGGGTTGCCAAGTAACTATGTTGGTTGAATAAAATAACAAGGAAATACCCCTGCCGCAGCAAACCTGCAGACTAAGTGAATTTCCATTTGCCTGACTTGATTTTCAATTACAGTAAATCTATTCAAATAATATTAGGTTTAACAAGTACCTAGGTTTGCTGCCTAGAGGGAGGGTAATAAAGTGTGTTTTTTTTCAAAAAATATTAATAGCTTAGTATAAAATAAATATATTTGCCAGGTTTGGTCCAAATATATCCATAAACAAGCAAACTACAACAGTTCACTTATCTTACTAATATTATAAATCTGAAATTTTGTGAGTTTGTGTGTTTGTGTGTTGCTCAATCACGCATAAACTACTGGAAGGATTGGGCTGAAATTTGGCATGATGATGGCTCACATTCTCTATTAACATTTAGGCACATTCTTATCTCAAAAATCCTTTTGTGCTCCGCCCTAGTGGCTCTGATAGTTTCCCATGTTAACCTTATGAGTACTTATATTTAAATGGAATTAAAGAATCTTAACAGCTGGTTCAACTAAACAATTTGATTCTGTGATGTTTAATAGCATTAAAAAGTGAATAGGGAGCACAAACAGGGGGTTAACAGCACTATTATTTTTTTATTTATGAAAACAGCTAATTTGCAACCAAAAGGTGAGTGAGCATTTCGAACAAACTTCAACCTGGAGGCGAGTTAGCGTAGCAAACAAGCTAAACCTGAAGGCAAGTGAGCGCAGCGAACGAGCTCCAACCTAATGGCGAGTAAGCGTAGCAAACGAACTTCAACCAGGACATGATTGAGCGATGCGAACGAGCTCATCTTGAAAATATTTTTGATTAAGTTTTCGAACACTGGACAACCTCTAGTTTTATGTAATAGATTTTATTAAAAATCCAATCAGGTAAATGGAAATTTGCTTAGTCTGCAGGTTTGCTGTGGTGGGGGTATTGTACCTCAGCTTTGCCATGTTTGTGAAACTTGAGCTCGGGTCGAAAATAGTCATTTTACTCCCAAGTGATGAGATAAACTAACTATAAGGTTGAAGAGTGCATTGAACTAGAAAAGCCTTTGTAGGTTTTGGACCCATAGTAACTTTATGATAAAGTCACAATAAATACCATTATAATGTATTTACTATTTTAAAGGAAAGCCAATTGCCTATATAGCAAGGGATTTGTTTGAAAAGGAAATCAGCTAGTTTACCTGAGAAAATTGGAGTCCAGGGGCTAATAGATACACAATACAAGGACACGAAACCCAACACTGATATTTCATCCTGATGTAGGACTTCTTCAGAGACTAGCTGTTCTTTAATCATTTTCTCTTCCATATACTCTCCTCGCAGGGGCGGCTCCAGAGTTTTGGTAGATATTTCAAAATTATAAATAAACAAAGAAATTTAATTATATGTAGATACACGGAAAGCATTAAACCTTATTATTTTGCATTTAAATTTTAAAATGTTCCCCTTTTTGCTCCACAAAGCCCATAAAACTCCTTCTTGACCCTAGTCTGGCCTATCCAAAAAATATTCCTGGAGACGCCTCTGTGAAAGATTCCTACATCAGGACGAAATATCAGTGTTATGTTTTGGCTTCTCCATCAATGATGAAATCTATTAATTTAGTTCATCCAATTTGTTCAAACTGCAATATATTTACTGTTGACTATAGTTAATGGTATCATTTCTGATTATCTGTTACAGGAAACTATGACGAAAAGGCTGTAGAACCCATAACAGGTATGATATAACAAAATTTTCTTTACAGTTAATTAAGATTTTTGATTAAAGCCATAAAACTCAAAAAAACACATTTATAAACATAAAAAGATGCTTTAATGGGAGGTTTTGGGCGCTACCAAAAGAAGAGATTTTTCCAACTTTTCCATTGAACTTAGCCAATGACACACTGTCATCCAGTAGCTGCAAATAATTTGCATCTGTGTGTTATTTTTATGAGGTCCCGGATCAACAGTTGATGACATTATTATATTCAAGTGGAACTTTATACAATAGCAGTGACATCTAAAAAAAAAAATTGTGTCCTCTAAATGAATATTTTTTTAAATAAGCAATTCAATACTCGAAAAAGGTACCTGGGGCCCTATTTTTGAAATGGTTGACAGTTGAGTCTATCGTCAACACTCAACTCAACCAACAACAGGATTTGGTATTTTTGAAACCCAACAGTTGGGAAGCGAGTTGGGAATCACTAGTTGAGTGACTCGTTTTGGAAATGTAGGGCATACGACCGCACGAAATTCAGATGACGTCATTTTGAACCAATCACAATGCAGAGTTCTTGCAATCTTCGATTTAACCTCTTCCTCTTCTTACTCTAAAATCTGGCAGCTAATCTCAATCTACCATATTTCGAGATACTGAGGTAAACTGTCAACTCCGTTCTTGAGAGATTGAGGTTATGTCTTGCTTAATCTTAGTGATTGCAAAAGTACCTTAACTTATAAACTATATATATAAACTTAAGTATTAATAATAAAATTTACTATGGATGTTTGTTTTAGGGTGTAGCTAATCATAAGTTTAGGTATATCCTAAATACATTATTATTTGCTTTCTTCGTCTCTATTTCGGAACACATCACCTTATTTTAGTTTCCTTCATCGGTTTATTTTATGTTATTTTTAATTGTGTTATTATTTAGGTTAAAGCGGCTATTTGCCATTGGACTGAAAGCATATCGTAACTTAAATTAATTTGATCCCTTTATTAGGTGAATGGTATTGAAACAAATTATGATATTGTTTCTCTCTACCACAATCTTTAATACCTTAAATCATAGGTCTAATAACAATAATTATCTTATAATAAGTTCAATTAGTATGCCTAGTCTATTTCAAACATACCAACAAGGATAAAACCCTTGATTAAATAGTCTAGTATTGACACAGTAAATAAAATTAAAATGCAATTATTCTACAGAAAACAATCGCATAAAGTATTGGGTGCTAATACATTGACATTATTGACAACAAATACATAACCTCTAAATCGCAAGTAATAAATTAAAGCAACAACAATATGGCGTTGACTCAAAAAGAGCAATTTTTTACCGAAAGAGGAAGAAGAAAGTGCAGTCAACCGTCCTCTCAACAGCTCAGTAGGTGGTGAGTAGTTTTGGTTGGATAAGTCGACCGTCAATCGTTTCAAAAATACGAAACGATTGGAAATAGAACAACTCAACACTCAACTCAACAGTCAACCATTTCAAAAATAGGGCCCCAGGTGAAGAAGGGATTTATTTAGGTGTAGATTCAGTTAACACTAACAATAGTCCTCAGACATAGCAGTTCTAAAGCCTTGAAGGAAGTGGTTTCCCACAATACCATAAGATGAGTCTTGAACTTTGCACCACTGACATGCTAAAGAGACGATTGGACACATTAAAAGGCATAGTCAATGAAACTCAAATGAAAGTTACTGGACTGTATGAAAATACAGGGTTATTAAAAAAGAATGGTGCAAAAATAAACAGTTGGTACGCCTGTTTACATGATTTCAAACAGCTGATTGTTACACCAATGGAAAGGGCCTGTTTATAAGTTTGTTTTGGCAAGGTTTTGATTTGCCTCATTTGCTCAGTTGAGTACCACAAAGCCTGCCAACAAATGGCTACTACAAAACCAGAAAAGGCCCTTTGTGTTTTAGGGTTTGCTCCAGGGGTGCCCCCCCCTCCACAAAGCTCACGTTGGAGAATCCCCCCTCCCCCAAATTCGTTGTTTAACCCATGCCAATTAACCAATGCCAATTAACGTTGTTTAACCCATCGTCTCTTGACTCTTGACTCTTGCCAGGAGATCTGGTGCTTAAACTATAGTTAAAATGCAGGGGGTGTCCCCGACACTTCTTTAAATTACTCGGAAATATTTATGGGAATTTAAACTTTTGAATCAAACCTTTAACCCAATTTAAATGGACAATGTTTCTATAAAAAGTGCCAATTATTAGGAAAAACTCATTATAGGTTGGATTTTATCAATTCACAATTGCATTCAATTATCAAATGTACACTATATACCATTGGACTTTCGTGCACTTTTTGATTAAGTCAACTCTCAATAAAATTTACGGAATTGGGAATCCTTTAATTTTGTATAAAACATGTTATTCTATAATAAAAGGGGTAAGGAGGGTGGTGGATTTTTCAGACGTGGTAAGTATAGGATGCAACTAACTGCTTGAGTAACTTATTGAGTCGAACTCTAGTAGAACTCTAGTATTTTACATGAGTTGGATTTTCATAAAATAGCTGGACAGTTTGCTTCCAGTAAACCAATTTATATTTTGATGGAACCATAGTTAATTATTGTAAACATCTCATACAGCTTACATTTTTGATAATGCACCAACAGTTATTTTCATAGGTGTAAAAGACAGATCAACATGAGCAGTTGACAGAACCCCCAAAATTATCAATTATCAATTATTTAAGATGGGGACGCCACTATGTGTGTATTTTAACCCAAATATGAGTGAAGGATTGAGTGTAGGATGAGTGGCGCGATCTTGTAGTCTTGTTAGTGACTAAGGCCAACATGTTCCTTAGACACAGCTGTTAATTAATAGCCCATACAGCTAATGGCAACTAAGGGACCTACAGTTTATTGTGGAATCCGAACCACATTTTTTCCTCTTAATTAACGAATTGGTCTAATTATTATTAGGATAGTACTGCGGATAGTCGTAGTACTCATTAGTGTGGGCGTTAATCCACACCAGGGAGCATTGCATCCACAGTGCATCCCTATAAATATCCACAATTCGTGACCCCCTAGTAGCTGGATTACAGGACGACGCCACCCGTCCCAGTCATAAAATCATAAAATCCCCTAAAAAAATCTGCTGATGTTGCAAGTTGCGACATTAAACCCCCTTGTAGGCACCCCTGGTTTGCTTGTACTAATGTTATTGTTATTGTTCAGTCTAACTGAATTTAGGAAGAAGGCTCCACCTAGGAACTATGCAAAGTTTGTTGGGTGAGGTAATTCAAGACAACTGGATGTTTGTGTGCCGGTAAGAGTTCGTGCCTAGGGTGCGATCACATTACAGGAGTGAACAAATAGTTCAGACAACAAGGAAACAAAAAGTTGAGCACAGCGTGATCATAGACACGCATTGCGCATCAGACACCTTGGACTCAGACTCTGCCAGAAGCTGTGGAGAGAATTAACGCTATTAAGATTGAGTGCAGACCAAAAACAAAAACCTTGACAGTCAAATTTGGTTGATCATTCAATGATTAAAATATTTCCCATACCGTACGTCATCGTAGTTATTATTAGTATGTTATATGATATCTCTTCCTTTGGAAGAACCTTTAAATAGTATTAAAATCGTATTGGTGGGTCTTTTGTAGTTAAACACTTCTGTGATTTCATTAGTGTAATATGATATTATTTGAAAAGAAAATATTTTTTGGGAAGACATATTCTAACTTCAAAGGGAGGTAATCCGTTACAGATTAAGTTTGATTTTTCCTTCGTCACGTCGCGTCAGTTCATATCGTACTTCTGTGCCAATGAATGAACCCTCTAGCATTGTTTTGAGAAATTGATTGTGGGGTTACTATTAAAGCTAGAATTCCTTGACTTGGGGGATGTCAGTTAGTTGTCTCAGCCTTATCAATAACATAAAGTTGTCAAAATAATCACTCTACGGAATGTTAGGTGTAGTGGAATACTTGAAGTGAAGTTGGCCTTTATTCTTGAACTGTTAGGGGCCTCCTCATTTATATGGTCTTGTTGGCTTCATTGGCAACAAATAATGCAAATGACATAGCAATGGGACATTTCCAAAAAGCAAAAATACTGTTAATTGGCTGTTACGTATGTAACGGTCGTATTCCTCTTGGACTACCTACTGTTACTTTGGGTGACGTAGCTCAGGAATGAAACTCAGCACTCGCTTACAAAACCCAACTTTATTAATTACTCAAAACAACACAAAGAACACAAAAATTAAAATCAAACAATAAGGTAGAGTAGACTGGAATTGTATAAATAAGTTAGTAGCTTAAACCCCAATTTGGAAAAGACTCTAAACCCCAATTTTGAAAACCGTTTACATTGTCTTACCTGGACCCAAGGCCAAGGGCCTTGGGCTCCAGCTCCCCCAGCAGGACCCTGTCCTCCGGTGCACCACTCAAACACTACACCCCAAAACTGACCCCTTGATCAAGTGCACTGGCCTACTTAAAGCAACAGCCTTCAGTAGGTCAGCACAACAAGTTATTGTTTAACAACACTACCAGCCTACTCACACAACATTGCCAAACACTTCCTCTTTACAATATTTGACCCTCCTATTACACGTATATATTGACGTTTAAATATTGGTAATCAACGTATCTTATAAAGGATTATGTGATCTAGTTTAAAGGAATATGACCATTCTGTCATGACAGTAGCTGCTTAAATCATATTTTCTCTTTGTACCATATTTTACAGCCAAAATGTAGTGTTATTTTCAATAATGTTACCAACCCAGTACGCCAAAGTCTGTAATATAAGCAGGTGCAAATAATTTGTCAAGATGGGTACCATTTTAGGGAAGAGGTTTCTATGTTTGGATTTTATTAGACACGATAAGAGCAGATATTTCAACAAAAATATTTGATATGACGTGTAGAATAATATGATAAAATGTAGGCAAAAGGGGTGAAAAAGGCCAACCCGTACAATAGATATAAGATAGTTCAATAAGAAATAATTTAAGAATTG